CAATATCTAAATATAATATTTATTCTGTTTGTTGGCACTATATCCAAACACAAACGCATCTTAAGTGTCTTAACAGTGAAACAATTTCTTATTTTCTAAGTTTCGAATAAAACTTCACACTTAAAATTAAGACATTTATAACAAACATTTTATGAAGAAAATCCCTTCCTTCCCAGATAGCGCATATTCAATTCTGCCTAGATTACAAAACATCATTTTTGCCCACTCCCAAAGGTTTAAGATAAGGGAAAAATTGATATTTTGAAGCACTATGTACACATATGTATTTTTTTAAACAAACTTTTTTGCTGAGAACTTATTTAAATTCCAGAAAGCGAATGCCAACTTGAATTAAAGGAACCAACACTGAAGTGAGTCAAAATGAAAATAAAAGAGCACAAAGTTCTATGTAAAGCAAAACTCTCTGGGAATCCTTCAAAACATCTGCCGGTCATATGACCGGTCATCTAAATGGGAGATCTGCAGTCTTTTGGCATCATATTTTACATCAGAATTGCAGGGATTTCTGAAAAATCTGACCAGTTCTTCTGTGTAACTGTAATTTTGCATACCTTGTCAACAAATGGCCTCGGTTGATGTTAACTTAAGGTCGTTGTTTTACTGCCTTAAAATTGAAGGGGAATTTTTACAGCGTTTTTTATGTGTATTGGTTTCTGTTTGAGTGTATTGAGAATCGGTCAGTCTGAAAAGGCCTTGTAGGGAAGACAATAGGTTTGTTCGTCGAAAATTCAGCGAGAACCACAAATTCTTGCTGGTAAAATTTTTTCCGGCTCGAATTTGTAACTTCTCTCCAAGAAATGGTCTTTTTACTCGTTATTTACTCGTATTTATTTAAATAAAACATGTGAAATTTAGTTGAAACATTTTAGCCGTTTTTAGCCGGTTCGTCCAAAAAGTTCTGGCAACACTGCTTCCAATGCCTTTCTATGCCTTCCAGTGCTTCCTCATCTCTGCCAATGCCTTTCTATAGCTTCCACTGCCTTCCTATCTCTTCTGATGCCTTCGTATCCCTTCAAATTTTTCCTGACTGATTAAATGTGAAATTTTTTTTCGTTTTGCTTAATTTTTTCTACAACTCCTATCAAACGAAAGCAAAAACCAGTAATGAAGTTTCATGAGCTATGTGGTAGTTTAAATCTACGGTACAGTCTCTTGTGAACTAAAGAAACATCAATAAAGTACTTTTATTTCCGACCGCTTCACACCTGAAACTTATCGAAATTTTATTTCCCTTTTTAACCGACTTCCAAAAATGGAGGAGGGTACCAGTTCGTCGGAATATATATGTGGCGCATATTCATACGTATTTACTTCATTACATTATTGATTTAAGTAAATAATCTTATTAGCAATTTCCAACACTGTAAGCATACCCAAATTCGCTATATCAAACTTGTTACTTGGCAGCCCTACTAGCTTTTTTGAATTCCTCTTTAGTTACTTCTTTCTGACAATTATTATAAAATCTTTTGGAGTTAATAAATGCTTGATCATCGTGAGAGCAAGTCGTTTTCTATTTAAAAAGTACCACATTGGTGACCCCGTATTGCTAAACACGCGCTTTAGTTAAAACGTAAAAAATAACCAGAAAAATGCCTCTAGAGGAGTACTCTAGAGTACAACTGCTGCGGGCGGCCGAGATTCTGGAATTTTCGAAAGCTACAATGGCGCGCCACGAATTCCACTCCCTGCAATGAGCGAGGAGAATATAGAGGCGTATTTCTACGCTTTAGAATTTTGGTTCCAAGCATCACTCGTGCACAGTGATTCCAGAAAATTTCATATTGTTCTTGCGAGTCTGCCGCCTAATAAGCTGTTGGAACTGAAGCCAATAGTGGAGGCCGCACCCCTGACTGATAAATTCGCTTACATCAAACAAAAGATCACCGATCATTTCACTGAAAGCCAGCAACGCCGCTTGCAGCGCATTCTCAAGGACATGCCTCTTGGTGATCGAAAACCGAGCGAATTATTCAGTGAAATGAAGCGAGTGGCCGGCACTACGCTCAACGATAGCCTTCTACACGATCTATGGATTTCACGACTCCCTCCTTACGTTCAAGCCGCCATAATTGCAACAAATGTTCCGCTGACGGAGGAGGTCAAGGTGGCCGATTCGATCACCGAGTCCATTGGGTGGTACAATGGGCAAGTAGACATGGTATCTTCGCGGAATGACCTTTCTGACCTCAAAACCGAAATTGCGGAATTGTCACGAAATTTGCAAAGACAACTCAAGGTTAAAGACAGACCACGCGGCAGATCATCGTCTCGAACAAAAACGGTACCTCCAAACGGAGCTTCAGCAAACGGTTTCTGCTGGTATCACGCCAAATTCGGCGACAAAGCAACAAAATGTCGCGCACCATGCACATTCACTAAACCTGTAACGGCACAATAAAAATGCTCGGCTGCAACGGTGTCGGGTATTCGCAAACAACCTGATGCCGTACATAACCACCGGCTCCGCATTTTTGATACGTCATCGGAAATTAATTTTTTAATTGATACGGGCGCTGATATTTCAGTGATTCCACCTAATGGGGAGGCAGCACGAGCTAAAAATACCGGTATTAATTTGTTTGCGGCAAACGGGTCGCCTATTAAAGTGTACGGCGAAACCGTTTTAAAACTTAACCTAAATCTGCGCCGAGAATTCACTTGGAATTTCTACGTGGCTGATGTGTCTCAAGCCATAATTGGTGCAGACATTTTAAGTAATTTTGACATTTTAGTCGATATTAAAAGAAAGTGTCTTATTGATCGAAAAACTGAATTACAAACATTTTGTGAGATTGACAACAGTGTTAAAACTATTAACGCTAACTTGAAATTTTTGGACATTTTAAGAGAGTTTATTGAAATTACGCGTGCACCGCCTATCGGTTCGGCTACGAAATCTACAATCGTTCATCGGATTTTAACAACTGGTCAACCAGTTTTTGTACGCCCGCGTAGACTTTCGCCAGAGAAGCTGACCGCGGCACGTGCTGAATTCGAGCTTCTCCTTAAACTCGGAATTTGTCGCCCATCGAGTAGTAATTGGGCGAGCCCGCTCCATATGGTCCGCAAATCGGATGGTGGTTGGAGGCCATGTGGCGACTACCGCGCCCTCAATTCGCAAACCATTCCCGATCGATACCCTTTGCCGTTTTTGCAGGATTTTTCGAACGTGCTTGCAGGAAAAAGTGTTTTCTCAAAAATTGACCTACAGAAGGCTTTTCACCAAGTGAAGATTCACCCTGACGACGTGCCGAAGACCGCAATTACGACACCGTTTGGGCTTTACGAATTCACCCAGATGACTTTCGGTTTGCGAAACGCAGCCCAGACCTTTCAGCGTCTAATAAACGAAGTTTTTCGTGGTCTCAACTTTGTGTTCACGTACCTAGATGATATCTGTGTAGCATCACGGAATTTCGAAGAGCATCGAGATCATTTAAGAGAAGTGTTTCGGCGTCTAAAGGAAAATAGTCTTACTATAAACGTGGCGAAATCTGAATTCGGCGTTAGGGAACTAGAGTTCCTTGGCCATTCCATAACCAAAAACGGCATCAAACCACTTCCAAGTCGCGTCGAAGCTCTGTTAAATTTTAAACGACCTACGGTTGCAAAAGATCTAAAAAGATTCTTAGCAATGTTGAACTTTTATCGACGTTTTTTGCCTCACGCACTGGAGAACCAAGGCCCACTTTTCGCAATGATAGAAGCCAATCGTCGTAACGACAAAACACCGCTAATATGGACTGAGGAGACAGTCCGCAACTTCGAATCCTGCAAACAGGAATTGGCTAACGCTACCATGCTAGCTCATCCCTTACCAAACGTTGAGCTGTCACTCTGGGTCGACGCGTCCAATTTTTCTGCTGGAGCTGTTCTTAACCAAATCGTAGACAATAACATCCATCCCCTAGGATTTTTTTCTCGAAAATTCTCAAAAGCCGAGCAACGTTACAGCACATATGACCGTGAGCTGACGGCCTTATACTTAGCGCTCCGTCATTTCCGGTATATGGTCGAGGGTAGAAGGTGCCACATTTACACCGACCATAAGCCACTAGTTTTCGCGTTTCGCCAACGACTGGACAAAGCTTCTGACCGCCAAATAAGGCAACTCGACTTCATAGCGCAGATTACTACGGATATTCGCCACGTGAGCGGCGAAAACAACGTTACAGCAGATTTGATGTCGCGCATCGAGTCTATTGCCCATCTACCTCTCGATTACAGCAAATTGGCAGAAGACCAGGAAACAGATACTGAGCTGCAATCAATGTTATCAGGTAACGCCACCCATTCACTTACATTCAAACAGTTTGCTCTTCCTTCTAGTTCGCAAACAATTTACTGTGACTGCTCTACTGGAAAGGTTCGGCCTTTTATCACCACAAAATTTAGATGCATCGCTTTGCACTCCGTGCATGACCTTGCACATCCCGGCGCTAGAGCAACGGCGCGCCTCATGAGTGAACGATTTATTTGGCCATCAATGCAGCGTGATAGCAGAGAGTTCGCCCGCAACTGCTTGCAATGTCAACGGAACAAAGTTGTTCGCCATAACAAAGCGGCATTGCAACGACGTGAAATGCCCACAGCACGATTCGCGCATCTTCACATCGACATTGTAGGCCCATTTCCCCTTTCAGAGGGAAATCGCTATTGCATCACTATAATCGACCGCTTCACTCGATGGCCAGACGCAATCCCTCTTCCGGATATTACTGCTCCTACCGTCGCCCGAGCTCTGATCAACGAATGGATCTCCCGCTTTGGTGTACCTGCGACGATTACGACTGATCTCGGTAGGCAGTTCGAATGTGCGTTGTTTCGTCAGCTAATGCAGCGCCTCGGAGTTGATCATTTACGCACCACGCCTTACCACCCGCAATCCAACGGAATGGTAGAACGATGGCATCGCACACTTAAGTCGGCCATTTTATGTCACAGCGCTGAGAGGTGGACGAGGTATTTACCATTAATCTTACTCGGCTTTCGTTGCACTTTGAAAGAGGATTTAATGGCGACACCGGCAGAACTTGTTTTTGGTACGAATCTTCGACTGCCTGGCGAGTTTTTCGTTGACAACAAACCATCAAAGGACGAGCACAGTATCATAGCCGATTTCAGGCGCACTATGAATGATCTTCGTCCTGTCGACTCATCTTGGCACACACCATCGAAAGTTTTCGTTCATCCGGAGTTAAAGACTTGCAGCCATGTGTTTGTAAGAGATGACTCAGTTCGTCCCTCGCTTACAGCGCCGTATAAAGGACCCTACGAGATTGTACGCCGAACACCAAAATACTACGTCATCCGCATAAACGAAAAAGAAGCAAAAGTGTCTATCGACAGACTTAAACCTGCCTTTACCGCAACCTTACCTGGTTCCTAAGGGGAGGATAATGTGGCGCATATTCATACGTATTTACTTCATTACATTATTGATTTAAGTAAATAATCTTATTAGCAATTTCCAACACTGTAAGCATACCCAAATTCGCTATATCAAACTTGTTACTAGGCAGCCCTACTAGCTTTTTTGAATTCCTCTTTAGTTACTTCTTTCTGACAATTATTATAAAATCTTTTGGAGTTAATAAATGCTTGATCATCGTGAGAGCAAGTCGTTTTCTATTTAAAAAGTACCACATATATATATTAGGGCGGGTCGATTTGTAGGTGCCCACAAAAATTAACAGAGGCACATCGTGATTATGATTATTTGGGTAATTTCAAGCATTTTTGCCCAAGAAACCATAGGTCTAAAATGAATTTAGAGCCAGCGATTTTTTCTATCTAGTTATTTTTTTCAAAAAGTGGCTCACCTGTTGAAACAGTTGTATTGAAAACTAGCCAAATGTGTATCTGGGGGTTTTTGGGGTCGAGGAATCCATTTCTGGCCTTAATTTTTTCATTGGAGGGCCGCCAGAGCGCGCTTCCTTAGTTTTGTTTTTTGATTTCAACGCCTGTTTTTCAGAAAATCGACAATATTGTTGCGAAAGTCCACGAAATTTGACTTTCTCATAGTGCAATTTAAATTTTTAAATAGCCGAAGGCTTATCGACTTCGCCGCGGTACGGAACATGGTAGTCAGTAGTACCAGACACCAGCATCGAAACATCCGCAAAGCAACTTGGGTGTCCCCCGATCAAAAAACAAAGAACCAAATTGATCATGTTGTGATAGATGGTACGCTTCGAGCGCTCTTGACGTGCGCTCAATCCGAGGTGCCAATATCGACTCGGATCACTACCTTGTTGCAGTTAAGGGCCGCATGCGCCTCTGTGCAATAAAAAACGTGCATCAGGCAACGCGGCGAAAGTTCGACATCGCAAAGCTGCAGTCACAACGGAAAGCAAAAAGATTTAGCAACCGCGTCTAAATCCTGCTTAATCAAGCAACTCCATACCCAATCCCTTCGTACCGCTGCGGAAGAGGTTGTTGGTTACTACCAACCGCGCAGAAACAAGTAGTGCAAGTAGTGACAAGTAGAGAGGCGGAAAGGCGTGAGAGCGAAGAGCTTGAGATGCTGGCAGACAGGAATGCGGATCGAAAATTCTATTAGAAAATAAGGCAGCAATCAAATGGTTTTAGGACCGAAGCTAGCTCCTGCAAAAATGAAGATGGAAATCTGGTAACACTTGAGATATGGAGGGAACACTTCTCAATGCTTTTGAATGGCGTCACAGGTGCCGCGTTTGATGAAGGAGAACCCGAACTAATGTATAGGGACGAATATCACGTCCCTCAACTTGACCAAGACGAGGTGAGAACAGCAATAAAGTGGCTTAAGAACAACAAGGCCCCCGAAGCCGACGGTATACCGGCTGAGCTTCTCAAAGCCGGTGGAGAAGAGTTGGTGGAACGTATGTACCAGCTTTTAAGCAGAATTTGGTTTGATGAATACATGCCCGAAGACTGGAATCTCAGTGTACTTTACCCAATCCGCAAGAAGGGAGATCCCGCCGTTTGCGCCAATTATCGCGGAAGAAGCCTACTTAATATTGCATACAGGGTCCTGTCGACGATACTGTGTGAAAGACTGAAGCTGTTCACGAACCAGCTGATTGGACGTTATCATTGTGACTTCAGATCTGGTAAGTCCACCATTGACTACATTTTCACAGCACGTCAAATCCTGGAGAAGAGACTAGATAAGCAAATCGACACACACCATCTTTTTGTAGATTTTCAAGCTGCTTTTGATAGCACGAAGAGGAAGTGCCTGTACGACAACATGTCCAAATTTGGGATCCCCGCAAAACTAATACGGCTATGTAGAGTGACGTTGAGCACAAATTTCAGCTCCGTATGAATTGGGAAGGACCTCTCCGCGCCGTTAGAGGCCATACGAGGTTTTAAGCAAGGCGATTCACTCTCGTGCAACTTTTTCAATCTGAT